GCTGGCCGCTCTCTATCCTGTTGTCCTGAAGCGAGATCGTCAGCCGCGACACACTCACCGAGAACTGCACTCATGAGCCACACACACACACAAAGAGACACGCATATGTACACGTAGACACAAGCACATGTACAGCCATACATACACACACAGCCAAACAATACAGTACAGACAGACAGACAGACAGACAGGCAAGAGCGTCCATCCGTGCTCTCTCTGCCTGTCGTCCCTATCTCAGCCAGCCAGCCAGGCATCGAGCCCCTATCGAGCCAGCAGGCTGGCCAGAATACGTAGACGTATACATACAGACACAGACATACCTTCTTGACTGTGAACGGCTGTTGCTTGCCGCCAATGGGTGTGAGGACAACGTCGCCGATGGTGTTGGGCTGCACTCCGGGCGCCAGAGGAACCTCAAGGACGCCCTTTGTCGTGGACTCACCCTCGCCGCCCTCCATCTCCGCGGGTGGACGAGGACTCGGGGCTTCTTCGGTCGGCGGCGATGCGCCGCTTGGTGCGGCTGGCGCTGATGAACACAGCATCTCATGAGCCCTTCAGAGTCAGGCCTCAACGCTTGGCATCTTACGTATTTGCGGTGGTTTCTTCTTTTTGAAGGCAATTGCCCGCGCCTCCTCAACCTTCTTCTGCCCCTCCTTCACATGTGCCGCGCCTTTCTTCCTCTTCTGGTCTGCCGTGTCAGCTTCGGACTCCTGATCAGCTTCTCGGAGAAGCCCCCTACCCGTGGAAAGATGCTTGACGCCTTCCTCCAGGGTGTCTCGGATGGCTTTGACTGTGCGTATCTTCTCTTGACCCAGGTCGATCTGCAGTTGGCCCTCCGCTATCTGCCCCGCAGCAAGCAGTTGCTGGCCTTCTTTCAAGAGCCGCATGGCATGCCTCTCGATCTCAATAGACTTTTCGACAACATCAAGTACATCGTCATGCCCCATAGCAAGAATCTCCTGCTTCAGCGTCTCCGCTTGCTGCAGAAGCTCTTTTCCCCTGGCGATGATGGCTTCACCCTCCTCCACTTTGCCCTTGGCAACCTGCTCCTTGCCCCTCTCGATGACTTGATGGCCTTCAATCGCAAGACGGAGGGCCTCTCGATATCTCTTCAGCAGAGTGTTGGGCAGCTTGTGGACCTCATCAGGCTCCTCTTCGCCTGGCGGGACGGAGTTGCAGAACTTGCCGCTTGGCAACTTCCATCCGCCAGCAGTGCACACCGCCTGCGGCCTTGTGTCGCGTGGGCCCAGGACACATCGGATTGAACGAGTTGCGCCAAGGCTGTGACCGTAGCCGTAGACATCGTACAGTGGATCAATCGGAAAAGGCCCGCACGTCACTGCATAAATGAGAGGGACATGGAAACAGGACACAACGCCTGGTGCAAGCTAGCTTATCGTACTCTTAGCAGCAAAGGGACACTTCTGCTCTTCATCTTGTTCACTGCCGCCTGAAGGAAAGACTCGCGAAGTGCACTGAGTCAATTCACTAGTTTCCTGCTTACGATTGAGACCCTTGATCACTTGCGCGGCGTGCAACAGTACGGCTTCGCTCTCCTTCTTTGTGTAAATCAAGATTGCTTGTACGACACCTAAGAAACCAATGGAGTCCATTGTTGAGACTTCTAAAACGGAGCTCATCAGGTCATTTACCATAGTACGATTTTGCTGCAGTGTTCCATCCCAAAATAAGGGACTGCTTTCGGGCTTTGTCAATCTCTTGAATGCAGCTCCTGTGTCTCGTCATTGGAAGCGGTCGGACGCCACTCGCATTCACACTGGCAAACCTTCCGTCCAGCACTCCCTGTTTATTCTTATGGACGCCAAACGCCACGATCTGCTCTTTCGCTTCTGCCGCTGGCTCCGATAAGGCCGATGGATTTGTGGGACAGTCCCTTTGAGCCCAATAGTGACCATCTGATCACAAGAACGTGCCCATGTTTTGCACTCCGCTGTACCTGGCATATGTCGCTATCACCAAGTTACCTTCGAAGCCAATAGCTTGTGTTGTATCGAGAAGAATGACCTGGTCCGCTCCGACAGAAGGAAGCCCAACGATAACACTACGATTAGCTCGTAGCTGGGGTTGAGAAGAAGAAGAAGAAATACACACACAATGAAGTGAAGTTGCTGCAACAGACAATCGTTAACAGAGCAGAGTGAGTACCGTTGCTTCGTTTGGCTTCATAGCCATGATGACGGTAAACTGATCATCTCCCATCACGGCCACGTCCCTATAGCTAACGAGGAACTCCTTCGATCCAAACAGCACGCCACAGCTTCCGGTCCTGAGGATACTCACATCGATACATATAACCAGCGGCAAAGGATTCGTATCTGCTCACTCTTTGTACTGCGGCAGCGCAGTATGAAGGGTACCCAGGCTCTTTAGCACTGCAGGTCGGCCCTCACCCAGATGCCCGAAGCCAACCGAGCTTCCAAGCAAATTCACCCAATGAAGGATGCGCTTCTCAGGCCCAACGACACTCATAAGATCCGGGTCAGCCACAAAAAAAGCAACCAGATCATCTGATTCCTTCTTGGTCAAATTACCCAAATAGTCACCAGCGTGAGGGATCGCTGCAGAAACACACCTTTTTCTGCGTCAGTCATGCACTTTGCGAAGTGTATTCTCACGCTTGCACGTCGGCGTGGGTCCGTTGAATTTCCTCTCTTTCAGGCATGTCAGTTCGGAACCGCTCTGGGGGACGAGGTCGTAGCCCGGAAAGCACGAAAACTTAGCTTTTTGACCGATGGCTATACGGCCCTTTGGTAAGACCTTCCCGGATGTGAAAAAAGTCGTCGAACAAAACTTGTTCACTGCCTCAGAGGAAGAAGAGCGAGACATCTGATTGCTTACTGGATGCCATGGACCTACCGTCTTGACGTCCAACTACGTCAACTATGTATGTCCAACCATCTTGGATGCCGGGGTTTTCGAGTCTCACAGATTCTTGACCGAATATTCAGGTAGTCGGCAAGAGAATTCAGGTAGTCGAACATTCAGGTAGTCGGCAAGAGAATTCCTTTTTAAAATATTGTAATACCCCTCTCTCTCTCTCTCTCTCTCTCTCTCGTTACCCTCATTGTGATTGGCTTCACGCTGCAAAACCTCAAGTTCGACGTGATAATCTCCGTCCGGCAACGTCTTTGTTGACAGTTTAAGTATACCAGCAAGCACCTCAAAAGACCACTGAGCAGAGCAGGAGAGAAAATGATCATTAAGAGATAAGCGCATCGCTTCGCAGGGCCACCGACCTCTGTGGAAAGCAGCTTGATCATTTCGGCGCTTGCCATATTCGCTGGTGTGACAAACACATTCGCAATAGCTTCTTTCGTCAGTACCAACAGCACTGAGTTGATAATCGAGGCAGTGCCATCGCTGAGTGTATGAGTGCCCAAGTCTGAACATTCATGCGTTGAAAGGGTGAAAGAAGCTGATACAGGCATTGGTTGAAGTTACCGATGAGCTTGCTTGGCGGTCTGGGCTCAAATTCGAAGTCAATAGTATAATCCTGGTCATCCTTTAAGTCAGGATGCGTCACGATGATCTCTCGATCTACAACTACAACCTGAAGCGACACACGAAACAGAGCAAATTGCCGCATTGCAAAACTGCATTTGCTTTTTCCCCTCATCCTCTTCTACCTCGTCTTCATCGACTTCATATATAATAATTAATTCCTTCTTCGTCCACGGCATAGAGAGGGAATTCTATATCAGGCTTGCTGAGGCCTGGAGGAGACGGCACATGAATGGCTCCATCAGCAGGCTTCTTGGGGCCAAGCTCTGCACAAGCAAGTATGCATGAATGGAGAAGTTGACCGGTGGTGGTACCATGTTTGTGTGTCTTACCCTCCAACTGTGTCTTGTCTGGCACTCGTTTTTTGACCTCAACTCTGTATTCCAGGTCGTCACGTATCCTCGGGCTTGTGCACGTCAGTTTGCCATCAGCCAAAACGTGCTATTTCAGAAGCCACACAAAAAGTGGCGCTAGTAGCAGAGCACACATCTAAGGCTTTGTGAGGCTGACCTCTGATGGAAAGAGATGAAGGGAAGGCGATCCATCCGCAGGATGCAGCACCACTCTCTCTATTTCTTCAGGCTTCAGAGCGTGGTACGACCCAGGAAGAATGACCACAATAGTTCCGTTCTTCGGCGTTTGCCTCCCTGCATCTGCAGCAATTTGAATCATGAAGCGGTATCACAGTTTTGATTCCTGACAAGTCCATAAATGTCCTACCAATATCGATCGTCTCGCCTTTTGGCTGCACGAAGCGCAGCTCAATCATGTAGGGCCCATTGGTTACTCAATCAGGATCGGCGTGCACTACCAATTGATTGTCAGCCGCGGAATACTGTAGATAGGCATTGATGCATGTCATCAATTTGGCTCACGATCAGAAAGCCCACCTCTTGTTGGTGTTTGAGTCTGATTCGTGGGCTGTTCGGGATGCCGGCCTTTCTCAATGTGACCTGCAAGATGCTTGTCAATGGAAGGTCTCTTGTCTTGCGCGGCAGATCCAACACAATGCGTCCGTCCACCGCCTCGTGGGGCACGACCCATTTCAACACCGCCTCCTTGCCGACGAGGTTCGAATGAAAGATGCGTTCAACTTGCTTGAAAGAGTCGTCAACGACCCGCATGGTATTCACCGGCTCTGTGGACGGCGGCCTTTCTCCGTACTTTATGATCCCATCAGCGATATGCAAGAGGGCGTGTGACAACGCAAAGAGGCCCTCAAGGCTAGAAGTTCCTCACATGCTCGTGCCATGAGCCTTCACTACGCTCTCGGCTGCTGGTTTGAGGCCGTGTGCTGCACTTACGAGCCGAAGCTTGGCCACAGTGGGCGAAGTGTCCGCTTTGGCCGCTTGTTGTACCGAACTCTTCAAGACATCGAAAGCCGTCGACATCTTTGCTACGGCATCAGTAAGCCCATGCTGATTCATTGTCCCTCCAGCCACCGCCTCGTCAAAGCTCGCCTTGTTCACAGAGACGTCAATTGGCCCTTGCAAAGTCTGGATCAGTTCCTCTCGCGCCTTTTGAGTATCCCCGCCTTCTGCCTCGATTGCAGCGGCCAAGTCGATGAAATTGGTGGCAGACTTCTCCACATTGATCGCAGCCGACTCAACAATATGTTCGGCGGGCGTACCCTCTCGGCCTTTCAATAGCTGGATAAGATTGCTGGCTCCCTCTTTCAGCTCGGCTGCAGTGTCTCGCACCGCTGATGGCTCCGTGTTCAAGGTCCGTGCCTGTCTCAAAGTCTCTTCACAGCTTGCTGCAGCTCTTTTTGTATCCTCAAGCGCCACTGCTTCAGACGGTGGTATGGTGCCTCTCTCTTCTTGCAGCACTTTGTTGATAGCTTCGATCAGGGAGTGAGCATCCTTTTGAAGTGCAATGGCAGCTTGCCGCCTACTGCTTACGCCCTCTGATGGAATGAGAGAGTGAGCAGAAGAGATGTCTCCTTATCACTCGGGACACTCACCAGTATGGCGGTCAGGATCAGGGACGTAAGCTTCCACATACACCTCATACTTGCCATCTTCGATGGCATCGCTTCGAATAGCAAAGCTGCGAACGTAGCTATGAAAGCCCTGCAAAGTAATCAGGCAGACCAATCAAATGCTTGCATCTCCTTGCCCTGAACTACTAACCGTTGTCATTATCGTTGCTGCAGCGTCAACTTCCAGAAGGACAGTTGGCGAGCCAGCGATATCATACTGGGCAAGCAGGGATGAGAACAAACGAGGAGAACTAGCGGCATGCGGCGTGAAAGAAGATTATTTACCTCTTCTCTTTGCAAGGTGATGGTGCTTTTCCTCTCCACGGCCTCAAGAGTCACAGCGATAATGTCCTTTCGCTCAAGAGTCTTGGCTTCCTCCCAGTGCTCGATTGGGATCTCCTTTCGCACACCGTGGGAAAGAGAGACAACACCAAGACCTGACAAGACAGAGAGAAAAGTTGAAGACATGTAAGAGAAATAAACAGATGAATCGAAACATCTGAAAGGAGCTTACAGGCGATTTGCCTGATGCGAGCTTCTTTGATGGCAGGTTCTGGAGTCAAGAGCATGAAAAACAAAGAGCAAGCACGTACCGCCGAAAGAAGAGACGCATACACATGTGCAAGCACGTGGATTGATGAACGCAAATGTGCACCGACCGGACCGGCCCCCCGACAGCCAAATCCCCCACACAGCATAGCGTAGCGTAGCGTACCCTCCTCGGCTGGTGGCGCCGGCTTGCCCACTTCTGGCTTGGGCGGGAGGGAAATGTCGTAATCACCCGGCGGCACTTTCATATTGGGCTGCTTTATCACGATCTCTCCATCGACGATGTCAAACTAACCAACCAACCAACCAACCAGCGAGCCACAGGCAGACAGCCATCGAGTCAATCGAGGGATGGTGAGCCAGGGAAGGGGCTTTGCATCTGTGTGTCTCTGTCTATGTGTGTGTGGTGGTTGGCTATTAACTAAGGACGGACTCACATCTTGGGGTCTGTGCAGGGGGATCTCGTGACCTTCTTTGTCTTCCAAGGTAATCTCATCGACCTCCTCCGGGGCCACGTTGGGTGGCAAAGGCACGCGTGGCGATTCGCTGTCCACTGGGTGATGGCCCAGGTCTGCATGAAACCAATGCACACACACAGACAGACAGACAGATCGATCGCACATACTCATGCATCTGCCTCAACAGCAGGTGTCTTGGTCTGTGTGTCGATGTGTTCGTATGTGTGTGTACCTTCTTTGGGCGGAGGGGGCGGCCTCGCTTCGGGCGGTGGGACCTCGATGGTAATGTCATACTGTGGCGGGAGGGAGCGAGGGAGCACGTTCGGGGGACAGGAATGTGAAGCAATGCGCTAGCAGCTTGTTGGCCTGTCTGTCTGTCTGTCTCTATGTATGTTTCTGTATGGATATGTGCGTGTGTGTGATCTATGTATCCATGTATCTTACGTCGCCGGGCGGGAGTCTGTCGTTGGGCTTCTTGATGACGACCTCTCCATCGATGACGTCGAATTCATCGGGGCGCGTGAGGTGGATCGTGTCGCCCGTGTCTTTGTCCTCGAGAGTGATGCCGTCGAAGTCCTCAGGCGGCCTCTCGGCCAGATCGGGCGGCAGCGGCAGATGGTCGGGCTTCTCCGGGTCGATGGGGTGAGTCCCCAGGTCTGTTAGTGACAGACATACATAGACAGATAGATAAATGGCAAAGGAATGGGGCCGTACACACAACCAAATCCCCCACACAGCATAGCGTAGCATAGCGTACCCTCCTCGGCTGGTGGCGCCGGCTTGCCCACTTCTGGCTTGGGCGGGAGGGAAATGTCGTAATCACCCGGCGGCACTTTCGGATTGGGCTGCTTTATCACGATCTCTCCATCGACGATGTCAAACTAACCAACGAACCAACCAACGAGCCACAGACAGACAGCCATCAAGCCAATCGAGGGATGGTGAGCCAGGGAAGGGGCTTTGCATCTGTGTGTCTCTGTCTAGGTGTGTGTGGTGGTTGGCTATTAA